CTGTTCTTGTATTGCTGCCATCAAATCTGCTAAGCTGTAGTTTGATTTGCCGCTTCTCGTTTCCATTTTTTTTATCCCACTTCTGACACCAATTTGTTAAGCCTCCAGTCGTTACTTAATTTTCCGTAAATTCGTTCCGACGAAACTTTAGCGACACAAGTCCTTTCTTAAATAAAACTGGTTTATTCTTTCCGAATACAACTTTACCGATGCACTTAATTTCAACAGTCGCTCTATAACAAACGCTAGAACGTCTCACGTGCTCGTGCTCGACAATACTCAATTACACACTCTCTGACTGCAGTTCAATTACTCATTACCTACACCTTGTCCCGTCACGTTGTGACTATCTTATATATACCAGCTACCCCCAATCTAGTAATATCCCGACAATTCACGAAGGTTCGAGAAAGAAGTGGCGTGATACTATTCACGTGACCTCGCTGACGTAACAATATATCTAATACCAAGGATCTACTGAATATAAAATAAAAGTAACCCGAAAAAACATAATCCAGATCAGAAGTTAAGACTTTATGAAAACTACAGAAATCACAAATACAGTGATTGGTACCTCGGCACCTCTTACATCTATTTAGAAATGGGCCTAGTTAAATTGCTATATAACTATAAGTCTTGGATTATTGGTCTTTAGTTGTTATAAGAAGTTTTTAGGTCCTTTATCAATTTTATAGATACTGGTGTGTTAACTTAGAAAGATATGATTCATATATACTTGTTGAATTTCGTGCAAACTACTAGAGACCTATCTGCGCTAGCCCTCCCTAATTTGGAAGTGATAGATTAGAAGAAATGCAGCTAGCCAACACCACTTGCTTCCATCTCTTGGGTTGCGCTTTGCCACGAATAGTGGGATTGACTGTCACATTATAACGCCTTCACGGCTGAAAGGGCGAGCATATTCGGTGACGGAATTCGATCCCACGATTCGCAGGTTGTGAGTCGAATACCATAGCCACAAAACCATGCCAGCTCTACTTCTTATGTGCCTTCTGATTTTAATGCCATATTTTTAGAAGTTCTATCAAACTTAATTTGATTTGAATTCTTTGTACTTTGAATACTATATTGTTTCAAGTTTGTCAATAAAAAGTTTTTAATCATCATTTTTACGACATGTCTTTACTTCGGCGTCACTTATATATGTTACGTTGTTCAAAGAACAATAAAACTATCAAAATAGTTAAAGCTATCGATTAGTATTTGTGTGTTCTGTAACTAAAGCACGTTCCATTTCTTTAATATTACCTTCATAAACAGTATTGTTAGAATGCTTAAAACATCTAGTTTTATTTTTTATCTATTATAATGATTGCTTTCATTGTTAGCTTAGAATATGGATTTAGTACTAACCTAGTCGTAAAACGACATTGGATTTACGGCCGAAAACATCTTTAATCTTTAACAGCAAGGGTACCTAACTGATAAAATAATGCATTTTAATCTTTATAATTAAGAACACAAGAAAAGTATATTTAATTAGCTGTACTCAAGAGCAGGTTGTTTTTATTTTATTTTTTGTCTAACTAGATAGCTTGCTCAGATCGGAAGTTAATATCAAACACATACCTCATCGGATGACAGCTTTACGATACAACAATATCTCTTGTTCTTACATACGGTGAAAACAGAAGTCAGAATTATCATTCAGAATATATCCAAAATAATTGTTTGTTTGTTTGAATTTATACACAAAGCTATACAACGGGCTATCTGTGCTCTGCCCACCACAGGTATCGAAACCCGGTTTCTAGCGTGGTAAGTCCTCAGACATACCGCTGTGTCACTGGGGGGCTCCAAAATAATGAGGAACAAATGTGATAAACCAGTTGTACGCATTGGTTATAACTCAAGTATGTTAAACTTATGACAAAAGTAATATTAACTTGTCTCTATCGAATAATCACATAATGTAAAAAAATATCATTTGATTATGGACATTTTTTTCCAAGAGAATGTGCCTACACCTATTTACTTCCAAAAGTTTCGTCGATATCAAAACTAATAACACTAACTTTATTCTTTTTGCAAACTTTGTTTGACTTCTGACGCGTAGGAATATATCTGCTTATTTAATCTTTACTTTGCATTTTCAAAACTATTTTTCGTGGTTAAAAATTAATATAGAGCTCCAAGAAAAATATTCCATATTTTCCACATTACAAAGTTTATTTTTTGGTATGATAATTTTTGACATAGAGTATTAAAAGCTTTAATAAATTGTTTTTTAAAAGTTTCTCATTAATACGCCAATAATTTTTTAAGTAAAGAAATGTAAATACGTGGCACACCTCCATAATTTGCTTTAAAGTATCATATGTTTAATATTGCATAACACACCTCCATTTTTGATGCTAAATACAGCTATGGATAATTTCCCTTTCATTCGGGAATTCAATATCCTTTCAGTAGCACGTCATCACTCTCACTGTATAACAATTCGATCATTATATAACCGATGCTAAAATCATTAACTTATTAATAACAAGTTCAAACATTTAAACAACGCTCTGTTGTGACTGTAAACTCATGTCTTCGTAGTTGGTATCATAATTATAACCACGTACAAGCTAAGGAACAATAACAAACAATTCACATCATCGTCATAAATTGACTTAAGAGGCTAAATTCTTAACCCTAAATAGACACGTTTAAAATCGTCTGTACTTTATAAATTAATTCTGGATGATGTCCTAAAACAACGTCAATTAACATTAGCATGCACGAAACTTGTTATAAAAAACATCTATCCCAGCAGACCTGATCAGCCCTCGTTTAAGGCGAAAGGTCTCGTCGGCATTCTATATAGCATGTATTCCACAATATTATAAGCAGCATGATATTCTTTATTTTCATACCCATTTTTAATGATTTCATATGATGATTGAAAATATGGATTAAGTCTAAGAAGCATTCAATTCTGCTGAATAATGAAGTGTGTGTGTGTGTGTGCTTCATTGGTTGGATTATTTGAGTAAGTGAATCCAAAAATACATGTACATCTCATCAAATGATATTTATTTGTCTATTGTACAACGTTTTTGTATACACGTTGTTTTCTATTATTAATTTCCTAGCAATTTATTTAAATTTTTTTCCCACTTGCATAATATTTTCCAAAACTCATTCGTCTGTTTGGTTTATTTGAATTTCGTGCAAAAGCTACACGAGGGCTTTCTGCGGTAACCGTCCATAATTTAACAGTGATAGACTAGAGAGAAAGCAGCTAGCCAACACCACCCACCACCAACTCTTGGGCTACTCTTTTACCAACGAATAGTGGGATTAACCGTTACATTATAACGCCCCTACGGCTGAAATGGTGAGCATGTTCGGTGACGGGGTTCTCAGATTGCGAGCCGAGCGCCTTAACCACCAGGCCGTGCCAGGCCCAA